TAGGCATTTTTTTCTGTATCCTGCTCCGCTAAACCTTTTTCGCCCGACACTCATGGATGCTAAGAATAGTACTAATGCTGTGATGAATAAAATTAGATTGCGTTATCTGCATTTTATGTAAGAGTACTTACATATTTGACTAAATTATAAACAAGTTTTGCCAATAGAAATAGCCTATAAATACACATACAGGTTGCTCCATTAGCATAGCAGGGATGCTTGCTACGCATTTTACTTATCCTGTCAGAAGCTGGATTTAAAGAGTACCTGTTTAAATAGTAACAGGTGCGCACTGTATCACTTCTGCCAGTGTCAAGGAGAGGAGGCTGAGCTCGTTGATGGAAAGTGTCAACCAAGGCAAATGCCTTGTGATAGATAAAAAGTCACTCAAGAATTGCATTTCTGCATAAAATGAATCCCTGGTGATGCCACCATAAAGATCCTTGTTCAGGCACTTCCTGTAATTCGGTGACAACTAGGGATCTCCCGATACCGATACTAGTATCGGTATCGGGGCCGATACCAGGCATTTTCATAAGTACTTGTACTCATGAAAATGCCCCAATTCTTAAGGCCTATACCGACCCTTTAAATTTTCAAACAGCAGCGGCCGTCCGAGTTACGGCGCTTGTGGGGACCTCGGCAGCCTGCTGGAGGCCTGCATATAGCTGTGCATGGCAGTGCCTGTCCGGTTCTTTATCTCCTCCTCCTCATTTCCAGTGCAGACACAGCCATGGACAGCCCCGGGGGCGGAACTACCGTCCCAGGGCTCGAAGCTGGGGGTTCCTGCCTCAAACTGACAGGGAGGACTGGGCTGGTACAGCCGGACTGGACGTGGCAGCATTGCCTGTCTGGATGTGGGAGAGGCCAGGTCCCGACATCACCGGTGAGGTGGAGTGCCCGCAGAGCTACTGCAGATGTCCACGTCGACCGGTGAGATCGACACACAGCCTGGTGAGAGGAATTCTGCTTTGGGGACATGTATTCGCAGAACACATGTTCCCAAAGCAGAATACTTGTCCCCAAAGCAGAATACTATTCTGCCTTAGGGACATGTGTTCTGCTTTGGGATCATGTTTCCTGCTTTGTGGACAGAATACAAGTCCCCAAAGCAGAATACTATTCTGTCTTAGGGACATGTATCCTGCTTTGTGGACATGTATTCTCAGAAAACATGTTCCCAAAGCAGAATACTATTCTGCCTTAGGGACATGTGTTCTGCTGTGGGGACATGTATTCAGTTCTGGTGAGATCCATATTTAGCCCTGGTGAGAAACTGCCCTAAAATCATCAGTCTGTGTTGTTTTAGAAAAAATATCACATGTCCCTTTAAGAAAAAGTATCGGTAATTGGTATTGGCAAGTACATGAGGGATAGTACTTGTACTTGGTCTTAAAAAAGTGGTATCGGGACATCCCTAGTGACAACACTCAGCCAGCTTACTGTCCCTGGCTGAGCCCCCCCGCAGGTTACTGCTGAGGCACCCCCCATTGAGCAGTGAATTTCACTCTATGATCCCCGGCAGGTCCTGGATCTGGTGTTATCAGACCTGGTCTTGTGTCTTAGCTACTCAGTTTCTTTACGTCACTTTTATCAGCGCTTGTTTGAAACTAAAAAGACTCAAAAGCCTGCCAGGGGCAACACCATGAGTTCTTATTTCAGACACTTTGAGTGATGAGTTTAACAGCTCAACCCACTTGCAGCGTGGGGGGAAGGAAATATTAAGGCTACATTCACACTATGCATGAATGTGTGATTTGGGATTCCTGCCACAGGAATCCCTAATCTCCCATTTAGATGTTGCTCCTGTACCTGTTCAAACTAATGACCGGGTGACAGTGGCCACATCTATAAGCAGCAGTCCACATGTAATCATATATGATACTATTACATGCAGTTTGGAATAAATCACTACCCTGCATCCAGGGACAATGACCGCATGTAATAGTATCACATAAGCTTACATACAGAGTGCCAGCAGACTGTCACTTACAGATGCGGCTGCTGTCACCTGGTCATTAACTTGAACAGGTGACAGCAGCCACTTCTGAATGGGAGATTTGGGATTCCTGCTGCAAGAATCACTAATCACACATTAATGCATAGTGTGAATGTAGGCTAATTATCAAGAGTTATGAAAAATTATCCCCCACAGGAGAGACAGCCAGGAGAGAGAGTGAGGAGAGACCGCCAAGAGAGACAGTGAGGAGAGACAACCAGGGGAGTGAACTGGGCAGCTAGGTGTCAATAACCTATGGGCACAAAAGGGCAAAGGGATTTGTGGCTAGACTTCTTGTTGCTTGTAAAGCCTGTTTCCACCTTTGCAGAGGTATTTTTAAAAAACATATGCCAACATGTACACCAAGTAAACATGAAGCAGGCATATGCAGCTGCTGTATATGAACACATAAACTTAAATTTTTTGTTAGCTTTCCTCTTCATATCCGCATGGAAAACTCTGTCTCTGTGCTGTGGAAAAAATGTGTGCATATCTTAAACACCCTCCCTGGAGAGTGTAATGTGTGTAAAGACAGAGGTAGTATTTAGTGATCGTGCCAGAATAGGTGACAGGGAGGGGGCAGCTGATTACAGTCAGACCAATTTTCCTGTGGAGAAAATGTTTAATTTTTAGGCTTCAGGCCTGATAAAACCTTCATAAAAAGAATGACGAAATGTGCACATGTATACATCATCACTGCACCTCTACATTACCACAATAAATGCTAATCACTTACAAAGGTGGAAATGGACTTTAAGCTTTAGTCATGTGGATATTGAAATACTTTATACAGAAGCTATATTCAAAGTTTCCCATCCATTATCTGCTTCCCAAGGAATAGTCAGTTAAATGGAGAGTCTGATTAATCTTTAATATACAATGTCTTCTGTTTTACATATCTCTATGCATTGTGACAGACTGAATATGAAGGAAATTATTCTCAAAATGGTGTCTCTATTTGGAAGATTGTGTAACGAGTCCCGAGGGTTCAGACCGCTCGGGTCTCCCCACATGCAGGGACGGCCAAATTGCGTTCCACGGTGGAACGCGGAAGCCGCTCGACTTCCGGATTGCGGTGCGAGCGGCCTGCATTCCACGGTGGAACGCGGAAGCCCGTCGTCACGGCAATCGACTCCTCCCTCACTCCTGGGCTATTCAAAGCCCAGCTGAGGCAGTATGGCGTTCAACTATTGAAGTCAGAACGCCTGCTGCCTCATTGACGCTGAACCCTACAATCTGCACCTCTGCCTCTATCTACCCTGCCTGGGAAGGACTCCCCCTAGACCATCACAAGGACCTGCTGCTTGGTTACAGACCAGAAGCTCCCAAACGCAAGTATCCCTCAGGGGAAGCCTAAAACCAGAGACTGTATTAGATACCTGAACTGTCCTTAAAGGGGAACTCCCTGCATGTCAGTAGTTTATTGAGACTGTATTGATTACCTGAACTGTCCTTAAAGGGGAACTCCCTGGCATATCAGTGGTTTATTATCAGATTACTACCTGAATTACTACAAAACGTATCATCCAATCCCATTTATTGATATCAGGCTATGACGCAATAGCTCTGCATTTCTTTTTGGTTACATACGGCTGTGATGCTAGAGTCCCAAACTCCCCGTTTAAGATTGGGAGTGACGCCTGGGACTCGAACCTGAGAAGCCGTCTCCAACCACCAAACGCGTGCTATACTCCGCAGTTGTGAACCCAATTGCCACTAAAGCAGTCGTGACAGATTGATACAATTCTTATGAATTTTAGGTGAGCGATATAACAGATAATTTTGGTCTTTTAAATAGGGAGAATTTTTTTTTCTTTTGTTAGAAAATCTTGTTAAAAGGCCGACTGAACACAGGCGCGGAATTGATGGATGTAGAGTTATGTGACAACATTATCCAGAATGGTATATTATGATAACTATAATAATTGAGGTGCTCCTGAGCTTTTCTAAAACAGAGAAATTCCCTTTTGATGAAATCTCATTTTTTTAACTGAGTATAGCTAAATCATTAAAAACTATTATCATAAGAGAATGAAAAATAGCTGAAGAAAATAACATTATGCTTTTAGTTCAGCTCACAGGAAGTACCAAGAACACAGATTTTCTGGCAAGATCAACAGGTGAGTTCTGTCCTTGCTGAAAATGTTGAAAAACAAAAACCAATGCACCTATCACATATAAGGACTGGTAGGCTGAAATATATGAAATTCTTGTTCTTGGGTTTAGATATCATTTATGGCCCATATACCATTATCTGTTTTGGTGCACTGCTTACGAACTTTTTTTCAGATGCAGCACACCCCAACTTATGGCTGTGTTTTACTATTTGTGGTGGTGCTGTAAGGATTGCCCAATATTCACTAGAAAACGAACACAGGCACGTACTAGTGCACATTCTGCTACGCGCAGTCCCGCATTCAGAATAATGGCCAAGCATGTTTTGGCTAGCGTTCATGAGTGCAAACGTGCACACACCAGTGCTCATAGGCATAGTTTTTAGCCTCGGTGCGTGCGCACATGGACCCACTGGCGTGCGCATGAACAAGCGTGCACATTGGAGCCAGGTTGCCTCTTTAAAATAGCATGACTGGTCTTCAGCTTGTTCCGGTCTCCCTGCAACTTGATTCCCAAAGAAGATGACCCTGGCTTGAGACCCCGACTCTGCATCTGCTTACTGATTGGGTGCCTTGCTTCTCCTTCTCTGTAAAAAAATAAAAATCTGTGCTTATGGATAAAGATCCCCCTCCAAACAGTTAAAAAGCTGCTGTACACAAACGCCAAGGTTTCAAATTCTAAGAAAAGTCACACAGCGCTAAGAAACTTACAATAGGAGTTGTATGGGTGTTCAATATATGAATAAATAATGTATATGTTCAATATATGAACATAAATAATATAAATACATAAACAGAATAAATTAAATATAAATAATATACCGTAGTGAACAAATATAGTGAAAAATATAGTGAAAGTGTCCCAATTCAATAAATTCAGTGTAATACTATATAGAACTGATATAAATACATAAAAAATGAATATTCAATCAAAAGACAGTCCATATTCCAAACAGTGAAAAATCAGAAATATTTTTTTTTTTAAAGTGAAAAAAATTAAACAAATGTCAAAGATCCTTCCACATCCTATAGAGTGAGAAGAACATATAAATTATGTGTTCCATAATCCAGTGTTTCACTCCGTGATCTCCTCATGTCAGGAAATCGTTCCCCCAACGGGTATACACTCACCCCACGCTTCGGCTGTATACCAACAGCCAATTCGCGCTTCAGTATCACAAAGCTCAGCGTCCTCTTTCCTCGAAATCCCCTTATTAGTGTACGCTCATCATGGATAACTCCAAAAGATTTAAATGAAATTCCTCATTGTGCAGTATGCCAAAATCATGTATTCAAAATAAAATAGAAGACTCACATGAAAAGTAAAAAACAGCTGGCTGATAGATGTATTATGAATCCTTCCAATCCTATGCTCAATGTAGCGTCAGACAGACCCGCACTGACGCGTTTCGTCACCAAAACGTTCTCAAAGGATGACAGGTCTGACTTGCTACAACATACTTAGCAGCTTTATAGCACTCCAGAGCACAATCGCATACATAATATATTACCATCAGGTGTGCCTCCAGATCGTTCAATGGTAAATGTTTAACCATTGAGTACTAAATATAAATATTTTAAAATACATTCATAAAAGCTAAAGGATACATTAAAATGCATTTATAGAAACACTAGGAACAAATAAATATTGTACAGTAAGAACTGAATCTCTCGTAATCCCCGTAATAAATCATTTATTACTTAAAAAACTGTTTAAATCGAAGTCAATATTAAGCCCCTTAGGAAACAAAGTGTCCAATACATAAATCCATTTGGATTCATTTTAGTACCTCTCCAATGATTCTCCATTTCATCAATTCCCACTATTTTTAAACCTTTAGGGCCTGTTCACATGATATCAGGTCCTGATCAGGTCCTGATCAGGTGCAGATCTGCAGACTGATGTAGTGCGTTTTTGCCACGTTTTTGATGCGTTCCAGTCAAAAAAAAAAAAATATATATATTTTTTTTTTGCTGGAGGGGGGCTGTTAGTACGTTAGCTGAAGCGCAGTGCGTTTTTGA